TTTGCTACCAACACCAGACGACAACACTCTGTGTGGCTACACAGTAAAACTGTGACAGTGACATAAACAAACTTAAGTAAGAATCAGCCAGCATGACGCTGCTAACCTGCTCCTGTTGTAAGGCCTTCACGAAGGCATTCTTCAGCCTGTTGGTGTGCTCGGCCTTCAAAGCCTTTTTCTGATTGGATGTCATGCACTGCTCGCAGAGGATCCTCCCACTCTTCTCCTGCTTCCAGTGGGGGGTGAAGTCAGTTCTGCACTGGGCGCAGAAGAAAGGCTCCAGACGGGCCAGCGTCCCTCTGAGTTTACCTACAGACACGACTCAGTTAACAATGACAGAGCTGCAGCGACGGGCGGCGCTCCAGCAGACGCACACCCAGAATCTATGAATCTAACCTTAAAGTCATCACAACACTCCTGAAACAAACTGAAGGCACTTTGTTCTGCTCACAGCTGAGCAGACAGGTGTAGCCGCCTTTATTCAGACCTTTAAAGGCTGACAGAGTAAAAAGGCGGAGCTACAAGGATGGAGCTGGATTCAGGGACAATGATTTCTCAAACATACGAGAAGAACTTCCTGCTTCTGGCTCTGCTAAACCGTGATTGGTTATTGCAACAAACTATGGACAGAAGAAACAACAGCACCACCTGCTGGCGAGATTTAGTCTTGGCAAATGTTTATAATCATTATCAAAATGGTCTCTGGGTCATGCTCACACAACCAAACGCTTACTTATGTAAATATATCGTATCCATGGTTGTCTATCAGTTCAGTATAAATCAAAGATTTGCTGTAGATGTTTCCTCCCCAGTATCAGGGTTTTACTTACCCTGACTGTCGAGCACACTCTGCACCACCTCCTCGAGGCCCACCATGTAGATGAACTCGCTGTTGGCAGCAGAGGGCAGGAAGTGCAGGAGGGGGGCTGGGGGTTTGGGTGGAGGGATCTCCAGTAAGGTTTTCTCCAGCTGCTTCCTTAGGGCCAGCTTGGCCGCCGCCTGACTGCTCGCCTGGTCTGCCATGGAGCTCACCGCTCCGCTGGCCGAACCGGACATGGTGGACGGGCTGACGGCCGAAGCTCCGCCCAGGCCGCCGGCCCCAGCTGCTGCCGCTTGCATGTGGGCCAGGTTCATGTACATGGCGCTGGAGCCTGAGCGCTGGGAAGCCGCCACCTGACTGGCCTGCAGAGAGATATACATCCACACATGTAAAGGGTTTGATCAGTGATCTCTCTCCAGGCTGTCCCACCAATCAGCACACACGTTCACACCTTTCTCAAACGAATGCTTTAGCCCAGGTTGGTTTGACTCTACCTGCTGGTAGCTGACAGCGTTAGCCAAGCTGTTGGAACTGGAACGAGACATCCCAGGTTTGGACGCGACCCTCTGGCCCTGCAGCTGGGCAGGGTTGGGTGCTATCACTCGCTGAGACATCAATATGGGGGGCAGGTTTGCATTAGCCGCTGACCGGATGACTGTGTGACCCTGCAGACAGGAGAAGGACAACAAAGGGTTTCATTGTTCAGCAGAGATCAGAGATGCAAATGACACTTGCTCACCTGGTTTATGGTAAATGATAATGTAACCACGGCTCATTCACACGTTCTTCTGTGTTTAAGTGCGTTTTTATCCACCACAGCTCAAAGTTTTATCTGGAGCTAAAAATCCAGAAGATTTTGTTTTTTTTCCCTTTTGAGTCTCAAAACTGAAAGCTTTTTACAAACGGGTACGTATCATTGGCTAAAAGATGAAAACAAGACCGTACTTGGTAAGAACATTCCTCTACAGTGAGTGGTGCAGCCACCAACGAGGCGATGAATCATCTCAGTAACTCAGATCAGAGACGTGGATTCAGTCTCAGAGAAAACTGACATTTTGCTAAAGACATCAACAAAAGGTGGGAGCTCAGCGTGCAGAGCCATCT